TTTGACACATCTCTCTATGTTCCACTAAAACTCAAAACAACAAACAACACAACATCAACACTGACCCACAAACTAATGCACTCCAAGACGAGACAGTAAAGCCTCTACATGCTAAGCTTTACACATCCTGTCTGCGTCAACACACTAACTTTCTTGAAGCTAGAAAGAGGATTCTATTTTGAAACCAGATTTCTTTAATCTGGATTCATGTGCATGCGGAAATGATAAGCATACTACTTACTAGATGTTTCTCATAAATATGCAGTATATGGTTCGGAAGTGATCATTTAAAATTATTTCACGTGGAAATGTATCATTAACAGAACTGAGGAAATTGAGGATTTAGAGGAAAAAACAGAAATACATTCTGTTGGACTAATGTTAGTGTGAACGCACCCTGAGAATTGGAATCTGGACTGAGGCCTGAATCCACAAATCTGAGGTTCTTACATTTCTATGCATCTTTAGCCAAGTGTGTGTGTGTGTGTGTGTGTGTGAGAGAGCAACAGGGAGTGTGGTTTTTAGGGCTTTTTCTGCAAGGGGGAAGTTGCCTTTGATAGTATAAGAGGGAAGACAAAGAGATCGAGGACTGGGCTGGACTCGTTTGCTTGAAAATGAAAACAACGAGACCAAAGTGGAGACAACAGACATTTGAGTGTGTCATCTGAGTGTCATCAGATACTGAGACAGAAGGTTAGAGAGAGATGCTACTCCTTTACTCCCTCATCCTCTGAAACAGTACCACAGATGTGTTTGTATCACGGTGATTGGAATATCGTTAGAATCGTGGGGGAAAACCTTTTTGTTTGTTTGTTTGTTTTAACGGATGGAGCTTGACCTATTTAGAGGTCGCTCAGATTTTTGTGCTAATTTCTTAGTGGCTGAAAACACTGAGCAGTAAGATGTGACGTGAAAGTGGGTCTGACATTATAGAAATGTCAGCTCTCCATCAGCAGGGCTGCGCTACTGAAATGACTGGTCGTGTTTATTAGTGACTTTCAGAAAGATAACATCAAACTGTCAGAGTTGAGTTAACGCAACGTTCACGGGACTATTTGACTGTGTCCAAACTTTTAGAAACCATCAGGTTCAGATTTAGTCACCTAACGTTGATGAATATAACCTGGAAGTTTCTCCAAAACCAAAAGCCTAAAAATACGACAAACAGTGGGAAACATGAATTGTAAGTGTTTATTTATTATTTAGCATTATTTATACACTGTAACATTAACACCTGCTTATTACAGTGGATCCCAATGATTTCTAACCACATTTTGACATGACATGACATATGTTTAAATGCTGCATTTTATTTGAATATGATTGATATTTTCTTGTTGAAAAAAAATGTTTATTCATTTATTTGACATTTTAGGGCACCACATTTGAATTCCAGGTGATCCCACATGGGCCAACGGCCCCAAGGTTGAGAAACCCATCTTTTTTGGCTTGTTTCTTCATTTTGATGTCCCAAAATTTCCAGCGACTCCAGAGACATTTTAGAAACTATCAGTTGTGCAGTCATGTGATCGCAGCTGTCAATCAAGATGCGTCAACTCAGATATTTTTATATATTCCAAGATGTACATTCATGAAAGGGAAAGAATACAGTTGTTTAAGATTGTGAGGTGTTTTAATTATAATTTTAACTGAAGAAAAAAAAAATGTTACATGTCATTTTTTTAATCAATTACTGGACATTTCAGGTGACCCTGTGTTGGGAGCCCAAGGTTGAAAACACTGTTTTAATATAATCTTTGAGCTCTCTGTGTGTGTGTGTGTGTGTGTGTGTGTTCTCCTCTGAGTCTAGACACAGTGGTACAGTCAGAGGAGTGAACACACACACTCATTAACCCTCACTGACTCTCTCTTCAGTCGTCCTTTCATCCCCCTCTGTATTATCTCTGCTCCTCACACACATGCACAGATACACTGTCCCAAACCGTGTTTGTAAATGTGTCGCCGTTTGGGAGGAGGGGGGGGGCAGCACATTCATGACTTCCTCTTCATCACTAATCGCTCTCATCTGTTAATCTTCTTGATCTGAGCTCTGAGACACGTCCCAGCAGTGTGCCCCCAAAGGAGTGTGTGTTTCTGTGTGTGTCTCTGAGACTTTGGTCTCATAGAAGCAAGTGGGAACAGTAGGGGTCTGACTTAGAGGCCCCGGTTTGCGGTCTGAGTTGATGGTAAAAGTGTGTGTGCGTGCATGCGCGTGTGTTTCGGGGAATCGGTCGGACATCAGTTAACCGGGAAAAGTTTTTCACCAGCAGACAGATAGTTTACCATCAATGGACAAAACAAACAACCAGGAATTTATAAGAATGTTCATAAATACTTTTTGGCCGTTTACACACGGTTCCATTGATTCCCATGTGTTTCACTGTCGTCCTAAGGCAGTGCAGCCCGTGCAGAAACAGACACTAATAACAAACCGCTGGTAAAGAAATGATTCATGTTTCAGTTCTTTTCTTTACACTATGATTATCATATACACCACATGCATGTTGTTTTATTGCACACAGTATCGAGAAAAAGCTTTTAGTTTCTCAAAACACCTCGAGCAGAGTTTCCCAAACTCTGGTGTACCCTGGGGATGTGCGAGCTGCCACTAGGTGGTGTGCGAGATAAAAAAAATGTCGCGGTTTGGAGTATTTATTTCACACAATAAAGACATGTAAAGACACATTACCTTTGTAAAATGTAAAAACAAAAATTAAGAGCTCCCTCTGTTTGTGGTGCTGTGCACCGCCACCAATGCTGTGACCAAACTTTAGTAAAGACAATTTCTGATGGATAAACCGTGAATTGAAACACCTTTCATCAACGTCACACAGGTTTAACTCAGGTTGCCTGGCATCAAACCTCTGACTTTCAGGTTGGAGGATGACTCACCTTAAGTCCTGACACGCGGCCAACCAAATATTGTCAACAGCGGGCCATTGTCACTGTCTTCACCTGGACCAATGAAAATCAAAATGAGGCGAATGAAAGCGTCTGTGCTGCTTCAAAAGAAAGAAGAGAAGAAGAATGAAGAGCGTTTCCTTCCTGTGTGGTGATTTCACTGAATCCCCGTCTGTGTCGTGTGTTTTACGGCTGGCACTCGTCCTTCCTCTCTCTCTTCATCTCTCCTGGTTAATTATCTGTTGGCATTCCACGCACTGCTAATGAGACCACTAAACTGTCCTGTCAGACAGGCCTCGGGCTGCCCAGTCACTCTGACTGTGTGTGTGTGTCTGTGTGAGTGTGGGTGTGGGTGTGTGCGTGAGTAAGTGCGTGTGTGTGTGAGAATGTGAGAAAACTGGGATTCAAGGAATTCGAGTTAAAGGTGTGAAATGTGAGGGTTCTTTCTAGGTGTGTAAATAATGATCATTTATGGGCCCCCACAGGTGTGTGTGTGTGTGTGTGTGTGTGTGTGTGTGTTTAAAGTAAACATCACTGGAATTCTTCCCGTCTTTTGTCATCTTCTAACTCAAAAAGTGTGTGTGTGTGTGCATTATGAGAGTGATGTCACACATCATGTCATCAAGTTGGCTTTTGGCACCGTGTTTTTGCCCCTGCTGCCGCCGAGCATTGTGGGACGGGGAGGGGTTTATGGTGTTGAGTCAACACCAGGACCTTGGCGTGGGGTAGGGTATATGTTTGTTTGTAAGTGTGTGTGTGTGTGAGATGCATGTGTTCATGCCTACGATCCGCAGCTCTAGACACAGTGATGAGGAGTCTGTCTCAACATGTCGTCACACTTTTATGGGATTTCCCGAGCCGCCATCACAGCCTGTTACTGTACACAGTGTGTGTGTGTGTGTGTGTGCGCGTGTGTTTTATTATTAGAAGGGGGTCAATGAGATGTTTAGATGGAATGAAATGGGGGTAAATTATTAGCAGGGCTGCACTGGTAATGATGTCTTTGTCTAATTGTGTGTGTGCTCCTTGTAAGACATTCAGATTGTAATCTTAGACCCAAGTTATCAAATGTTGAAATCCTACTCCTGCTTATAATAATTTAATCTGACTGTAGACTCTTCCCCACTCCTGTAATAATCAAACTCTCATTATGACTGTGTCTGGACCGTAACCATGGCGACAGGTCACATCACTTAATATTTGTTGATAGTTTGACCGCATTCAGATTAAGTGGACGATTTCTTTACATGTCAGTGTTTCATGTCAGCCATGAAAACAGTTGATGATGAATGCTGATCGAAGATGATCGAATGTCATTTATGCTATAAATAAGCTAGCGTTTAGCAAAACCTTTTTTGTCAAAGCTAAATGCTGGCTTCCTTTGTTTTTGTCTTTGGTCAAACATTACTGTTTTATGGTGAGTCTTCCATAATTCATCAGCTAATTTAGTTATTTATTTTTGTTATTTAACTATTTTTATTTATAAAAAAAACCTTCAGTTGATGTTTGTACAGTAGAAGCCCATGTTCAAACTTGTTTCAGTCTGAAGGTGATTCGTTTTGAGGTTAAATTCAGTCCAGACTCATTAACTTTTTCTTACACAAACATGAAAAAAATTAGAAGCTTTTTATGGAAAACCATGTCACAGAACTGCCTGCAGACTCACTGTTCAATGATGTCTCATTAGACATAAACTCAGTTCCTTAAAATGAAGTAAAGCCAGATGCTCATTTAAATCTGGCAGCAGTCGGGGAGTCTGGAGCCAAATGTGACAAAAGCAGACAGTAAAACAGCTTCAGTGTGTCGTTGCTATGAAGAGAAATCGACACCTGTGATTAAAAACACACGTCGGGTTTTTATCCCTCCCTCACCGAAGATCCATTACAATATTTAAATGCTCTTCTAAGAAAATGTGTAACAAGTGCAGCTGACGTCCTTGAACACTTATATAAAATCAATCAAATACTAGGTTTTTATCACTTATTTGCTTTTCTCTGCAAGAACTTTGTCAACAAAGTAAAAACTTTAGAAGTCTTTAATTCACTAACTGCATTTTCTTGGAATGTCAGCTCTCTTTGATGAACAAAAAAATGACAGCGTTCGTCAGGTTTTTTATTGCTCTACATTCCGTACAACATTTTTAGTCCCCATGTTATAGTGTATAGTTCTAACAATGTGTGTTAAAGGGAGGAGGTTAGCTGACGCTTCAGCTGAACTTACAAAGTTTTACTGCAGACTTGGATTTCCAGTGTTCTGTGGTTGAAGTATTGATTGAAATGTACAACAGTGGCGTGAAATCATATTATTTTTGACTGTGATTAGACGGTTCAAAAGGCCTGATTTAAAACCACTTCCAATGATCCGACTTTAGAGACCAAATAAACACTTAGTGACATTTTCTCTTTATTTAAACTATGAAATTAAGAAGTTGTATGAAACTGGTTTTTTTTTACAAGCTCAGAAGAACAGAGGAAAAACAAATGCATGAACAGTACCAGATAGCGGCACATTCTGTTAGTTGCAAAAACAAAACAAAAAATCTGTTGATCATATTCAGTGATGGATTTTAATCCAAACAAACCCCCGACTTTTTCTGTAAACAAGCCCAAAAATGTTATTCAGTTATTAATGAAGTCTAACTAAACGGAGCCCCCTCAGGTTCTAATGTAAACTTTGACAAAACAGAATGATAAGCGTGGTAACTAAGGCAGCATCAGCAGGACAGGACGCGCTGATCTGATCCCCACAGGAACCTGTCTCCACGTCAACAGGACAGTCTTTCTCTCGGATCAGTCTGAGACACGTGAGCGCCAGGATGGAGAGAAACTAGCTCAGATGTTAACGCCTCCTGCTCCAGTGGAGGTGTACGTTCCCGGTAAAGAGTGGTGGTGATGTCTCCTTGTTTAAAGAAGACACAAAGAGACTCTCCTCATCCCTAGTGGCGGTTGGAGTAGAAATAGAAATAGACAGGGTGGAGAAGGAGGTCAGCGATAGACCTCCTTCACCTCCTTTATTTTATCCCCCATTCTGGTCTCAGTTGACAGTCTGTTAATTCGGAGTTTCCACTATTTGGCCTCAACAGTTTCCTGGGACATTCACGCTGCCTGCTACGTTGTGTTTTCACACCAACAGTCAGGGTGATGAGCAGCCGTCTCCTCACTCAGTGGGGACAGGGATGATGCAGATGTGCAGGAAATTGTCAGGGTGGCTGAGGTGTTCACTCAGCCACTGCACTGGAGTCTCCAACAGTGGCTCGATGCCATGGATCACCACCTGGTAGAGTTTCTGTTCACCTGGAGACAACGATGAAAAGACAGTTGGTGGAGGGGAGATGTTAATCAATTACAGCTGGTGTGAATACACATGGCCACCTATTCTTAATTTTCTTCGTAAACAGGAGCCTGTGTAAACTCCAAATAACTGTATCTTGCTGATGCGAGACACTTGTCAACAAATCTTACTTCCAACTAAAGAAGTTCATGTCATTTATTTGTTTCAACAAGCTTTTCAAGGCAGGAACGTTAAGAGAACCAAGGACACAAATCAGAGGTATAAGAAAACATTGATTAAATACACAACCAACCCCTTTTTACAATACAGTAGTACAACTCAGTCAGTCACTCAGTTTGGAACTTTTTTTTCTCGTCTTATTTCACATTTTCTAACTGTTGCCCCGAAATTATAGAAGTCAGACAAAACTGTCAAATGTACGGAAAATATAAACCAAAATTATAGAGAAATATTTTATTACAGAAAAAAGATAAACGTTAAAGGGATAGTGCAAAACATACTGTATAGCCAACAGATATGTGAAGATAACCCCTAGCAACGAAAAATAAAAGTAAGAAAAGTCAGACAACAAACTAGTTTGACAATACTGTAATTACCAAATGGACTACAAATGTGAAGAAAAACTTCCATTAAAATGTTTTAACAAAAGGTACCTGTATCTTAAAAGTGAGTGAAACTGATTGGCCCACAGGCTGGACTCTGGACATGGGTGATGTAAACAGCTGTTTCTTCACATGAACGAGCAGAAACTTGTAGCGTTTGTTCACAACAGTAGAAAAAGTGAAGGGGGTTCGTGATCTTGAGCCACCATGACCAGAGAGTTAGACGAGTCTGTACTAGTCCAACTGGTTTAAACCTGGTTGAAGGCTGGATGCACGCAGACTTAATTCAAAGACAGAGGTTCAGAATGAAGATGAAGATGGTGTGAGGATGAAACAGAGATTGGAAAAAAGGGAAGTAGAGAGTGTGTTCACACAGGGAAGAGAAAGAAGGAGAAAGATGAAACTCAGTAAAATATAAGATAGAGAGAGAGAAAGGAAGAGGGAGAGAGAGAGAGGGAAGAAAAAGAGTTAAAAGAAATGTGGAGAGGAAAAAATGAGGTGAGGCAGACCACATCAGAGGTGACAGTGTTACCACGGGTGTGGTGGCTGAGTGAGAGTGAGGAGAGAAAGTGTGCGTCTCTGTGTGTGTGTGTGTGTGTTTTGGGTTATGAAGTGACAGTTGAATATTTAGGCGTTCATCGTTAAGAGCATTTGAATTTTAAACTCTCGCTCTGACAGTTGGCAGTTTCACACTCTCCTTTTTACTCTCTCAGGCCCGATGGCCGACTCAGATCCAGTGGCTCGACCACAAATCAGCCGTTACATAGAGACAGCAGGTTTTGGTTTTTTCTTTTTTTATATATGTGCAGTCTTTGTTTTTACAAATGTAATTGCTTGATTTCACCTGTTGGTGTCACTTTGGTCCTGGTGTGATTTTTCTTTTCTTTTTTTGAAGTGAGTGCAAAACATGCATCGATTATGACTCAAAGCTTAAACCTCAAACGTCCTGCACTAGATCAGGCTTTTTCAAGTTACGCACAGACAAAAAAAAAAAAGAGTATTTTTATTTTTTTGTTGCGGGGAATTGAAACTGTCACGGACTTGCACACCGTGAGAACTCTCCTTTCATCAGTTTAAACTGGAGGAATTTTCAACTTTAAACAGAAATACGCTAAATGACTCCAAACCATGTGACCGTGACCGTGACGGCCACTGTTCTAATATCTTACAATAATGTTAGTGCTTTAGGGTTAATAATCAAAAAAAGGGAAAATACAGAGTAGATTTAGAAAACAACATAAGTGTATTGATGAAGACCCCCGAGAAAAAGTCAAATTCTGAAACTAGGCTAGCTGCTAACAATTAGCCCAAACATATCAATTCAGGCTCAGCCACAGCTAAAAGAAAGCCAACATTTTTGCAGAGAGAGAGAAGGCAGACAGGTTTGAAACACAACTAAAACTCTGACCACAGATTTCACCATGGTGTCCATCACAGGGTCAGGGTCAGGGATCAGGACACAGATCTGGACTGAAACCTAACCCTGTCCTGCACAGACATATGTATGAGGTTTAGTCACTTTCAAAATAATGTTTTTGTAAAACCAATTTAAAAAGTTAATTTGTTCTTTCCATCGCCTAGTGAAATTTATATGTATTATTTCACGAAAGAAAGAAGTTTTTCTTGCTGTTTTTGGTTAACTGTACCAACTTGAAATATATAATATGAAACATAAAATATATTTCCAAAACTAAATGCTGTCAAATTATTATTAGTTAACATTTCAGTTTTTTTTTTACTAGAATGAACCAGGTCTCGTAACCCTCTGCCCTGTGTGTAGGCCTTCTGTCTCAACATCACGTTTCCTCCACTAACACTGAAGGTGACACGAGGTGTTTGGATCTGAGACACTGCTCTCATACAATAACTGCTGACACAGCTGTTTTCACTGCAGCTGGGTTCAAAGATAGACCAATTCAATTAGCAAACAAATGGCACTTCACTGTTTCACCGTGCATTTCCTACAACTGTGTTATGAGTAGAATATGAACACAAATGGGCCTTTTCCTGTCAAATGCATTTGACCTCAAGTGTCACATTCACACACACACCCATGCCCAGGCAAACACACACACGCGCTGTCCTCATTTGCCCAACGCCTTCGTGACATTTCGGCTCCACGTAATATCAGGAAGACGGTTGAAGCAGATCATCAACTGTCGGTCTGAAAAGCGGCTCCACCTCACACCTGCTGCTTGACTGACAAACAGCAACGTGCAAGAAACTGATGAGAGTGAGACTGTGGAGGAAACCTGCTCCAAAGTTCCTCTGCAAATTGGACAAATGCACGCTCTCTGAGATTCTGGTGCAAGATTCAAGAGGAGGGCTACTTACTGAAGTGCAGTACAGTGCAGTACTAATAATGAGGTCTAGAGGGTACACACATATATACTGTATATGTTAAAATCTCTTTGTACAGTATCTATACCTACTCTGTGACAGTGTATAATGCTGCATTTGTGTCTGATGTGATTCTGGACTGCACCCCAACAACACTGTTGACATTTCCATGATTAGTATTGAATACAGCATTATTTATAAATACAGTACTGCACTTGCTAAAGGATAGCTTTGACTGCTACATGTAGCATACAGATTAGTTTGGCCCAAGTGTAGCAGTTACACTGCAAGCTGCGACTAGGAGAGAAAAAAAATGACATAATTTGCAATTAATAAGGTGTGTTTTTATATATATAGTATATAAATAAAATGTTTACATTTTAACAAAAGCCAATAAAATAAATAAATAAATAATGACATGGTTGTAGCTCCAGAGGTGACCGAGGAAGACTGCATTACTCCAAGTTGAGAAACCCACCATAAAGTGATGTAACATTGGTATTACCGTAGCCAATCATTCATGTCATTCATCAGCTTCATCTTAAACTATCATTTTTCTGTACAACCTGGAGCTTAAGACGGTGATAATTTACAAAACTGACGCTGTGCTGATGAATAACAAATAAACTGTGACTGGAACCATAAACTGCTACACAGACAACAGGTTACTTTACCCACAGACGTGTATGTACAGTATATTAGTTGTGTTTTTACGTTTCACGTTAACCTTGTGCTAACAATCCTATGAAACAGTGTTAATTGTAATTAAGCCTTTGCGATTGAAGTGTTCAGTGAGTTTAGTCTGTTTAGGTGTGGAGATGGAGAAGTTTGTACAGTTTGTACTGCTACGGTACATTGGCCTCATTCACCAAAACCACTGATCCACAGGCTTGAAGACAAAAATTGAAACCAGCTACAACTAACCTGTACTGGAACAAATTCCTCGTAACTAAGGACTAAGTCAATGAGCAGTTTGGAAATTTACTGAGTGTGTGATTCAACAGAAAGAAAAGGGGAAAGATGTTGAAAATGGAGCAGAATAAACTGGTGAGCTGATCTAACTAAAATTAACTTGTCTTTTACATTAAAAAAAATCTTTGACAGCCAAAGTTACGCTTTACTTCACATTCAAATTCTTGTTACATTAACCACAGACGGCAAATGTGCTTTAAAGTGCTGGAGCACAGCTATAATATAATAGTATTGGAGTACTGTTGTGCTTCCTAATGCACAATTGATATATTCATATATTCATATTATTTTGGTAACCTAGTTACTTTAATAATTTTTACTGAAACTACTTTAGGGTAAAGCTGCCTTTACATTGTCCTTGACCTTGTGACCCTGCCTTGTTTGCTACTGCAAACTCATGAAAGATTAAAGAATATTTTACTTTAGCATCTTTTATTAACCTAGAACAAAACACAACAAAAAAACACCTCAGCAGCTGAGTGAATAGAACCGCTGAGTAATTATTGGGATTAATTATCAAATTAGTCTTTTAACTCGCAATACATATTTTGATAATCATCAACTATGAAGTTGATGATTATCAAAATATTTGCCGATTAAAAAAGAGTCATTAGCTGCAGCCCTTATTATGTGATGTCAAAGGCCTACAAATAGGCCTTTCAACAGACCTGTTTTAGTGACATCTATCTAGAATAACTAAAGTGCATTTTTGAAAGTAAAAGGGATAATGGTGTACACACACACTGTGTGTGAGTTTCCAGGGGGTGTTATTGAAAAACCCCTCTCTAACCTTTAACCCTTGTTCTTGCCTGCTTGGCAGTGGTGGGTGGAGTAGACATGTTGTTGTAATTTCACTATGAGAAATGGGGGAACTTCGGAATGGGTCACACCCCCATACACTCACTCACTCACACACACACTCTCTCTCTCTCTCTTTCATTCTCTCTCTTTCACTCCCACACACAGCCAACCCACTGGAATACTGTGAAATGGATTTCGTCAATTTTCAGGTAGACATGTACAGACCCACGCTCAAAGATCACGGGTGACCAACACGTCAGGAACTGCGTGGTTCGTCTTTTCGTGTT